TCATAAAATACCCAGCTGCGTGCGGAATTTTTTGGAAGTGTTATCGTATTGCAACTCCTACACGAAAATCGAAAATGACCAAACCCCCGCCACTGGATATTTCAATATAAATCGATATTTCAAGATGGGAGGATACAATGACTGCTATTGGCCAGGGCTTCATAGCAAGACGTAAGGTGACGTTAGCCCATTGACAATGACATGGTTCCCCGTGGCAACGGCCATCCTGCCAAAAACTCCACCAATCAGGTTCATCCAGGCCGGATGCTTGTCAAATTGTCAAAAACTGATGGTATCTTTAGAAAATGTTTATTTTTTACAATGGACAAAATTGAAGAAATCAGTTATTAGAATAAGAATAGATCTAACAACCACGTTGAAATATTTAGCGTTTTATTGGTATCTATATTTTGTTATTAAAAAATGGATTTTCAAATGAACTATACTCCATGCCTGGTATTTTCGCTTTTTAATAATTAAACGTGACAACATGGCACATTTACATCCGAATTCCTTCCGTAGACTCAGATCCGCTGGGCAAACAATATCTTATGATTTAGATTTTGGAAGGGCATAACTTTTTTTCTATTATAGATAGAAAGCTGAAATTTTCACTGAAATTTATCTCAATAAAGGGACTACAATCCCTGAAAATTTCAGCTCATTTGCACTTATAGTTCCTGAGATAAAATCGTGTTAAGCAATTTGGGGTGATTTATTAATTTTTCAATTTTTCTGAGTGCTTTCTTTCATAGATTTCGGCTTCAAATCTGAGAATAATTTAGTGTATGTAATTTGGGAAATGTTATTTGACCATTAGGATAGAAAATCTCAACAAAAAAAAAATTGAAATTTTATCGTTTTAGTAAGAAAGTACCTACCTTATGATTTAGATTTTGGAAAACTTTGATAGGTCATAACTTTTTTTCTATTATAAATAAAAAGCTGAAACTTTCACTGAATTTTATCCATCCCAATCAAGGGACTACAATCCAAGAAGGGTACCTACCTTATAATAATAATAATAATAATAATAATAATAATAATAAACGTCTTTATTCAGGAAAAAAAGAAATGTGTACAAAAGACAGTACACACTATGTATATGGCAGGAATGGCGAGATTTAACTAAAGTTATTCTTACACCTAACCATTCCCTGCCACACAATATGCCAAGAAATTAAAAAAAAAAATACATACAGTTATTAATTGCAATTATATAATCAAAGTAGAGAAACCAAAAATCAAATCACATAATATGTCAATTTCCGGATATCTTTGATCTTGAAGTCGATTTTACAATATTTTGTAAACTAACGCAATATCAAATGATTTGCCTCAACTAACTGTTGGAAATTTGACTCACTCCTCCTCATCTGATAATCCCATGATATGTTAATTTCCGGACATCTTGATCTTGAAGTCGATTTTACAATATTTTGTAAGCTAGTACAATATCAAATGATTTGCCTTAACTGGCTGTTGGAAATTTGACCCACTTCATCCTCGTTTAATATTCACATGTCAATTTTCGGACATCTAGAAGTTTATTTTACAATATTTTTACAGAAGACACAGTATACATATTTTAATAACTCATTGGCTAGCTCTGCTTTTGTTGATTTCAATGATACAAAGTTCGATAGGTAGGTATATCTTCAACAGTTTTCGAGAAAACTTTTTTTATCTGTTTTTGTCATAGGAAACAATGTGCTACAAAAAGACCTTTCTCATTTTCCTCACAGATATATAAAGTCCTCTTCTAAAACATTGTTTCTTATGACAAAAACAGACATAATAGAGATAATTATTGAACTTTATATCATTGGAATCAGCAGAAGTAGAGCAATGAGTTATTATTATACAGGGTATCTCATTTGAAAAAAAAAAACGTATGTTTGGTTCATAGTTCAAAAACTATCACTTCTAAAGAGAAGATGACTTCGCCACTGGAATCAAAGAAAGATCTATGAGAAAACCGAAATACAAGGGGTGTCCTGAAATGCAACGTTTCCGAAAATACCGTGTAACTGAAAAAAAAAAAAGGGCGATGACAATTTAGTTGACGGCATCTTTCGTTTGACAAAAAGTAGCCATCGTTCGCGAAAACTGCATGCTTCCAACTCCAATATCAACAGAGATATCCATCATGTACAATCAAAATGGGACACCCTGTACAGGGTGGTCCAATTTGAACACTTTTAGAGCCGATACTTTTGCTCTCGATGAACGAATTTGATACATTGTCAAAGTTTTGCATGGGCCAAGGTCTATAAGTATGATGTGGTTAGAGCACATTCTAACCCCTGATTATTTTTAACGGCTGTTAAATGATAGCAAAAGTACTGGCACTTAATACGATGGTGAAACCCGAATTCTCAATCATTGGGCACTATCACCAGTTGCAGACCGGTTTCGAGCTCAATATGCTCTCCTCAGTGCAATATAGGCGAAAGCGCATAATTTAGAGAAACAGTTTTGCAGGAGATTCAAATGGTAGGAATGATATAGATCTTTGATAGCGTGTAGCTCCCTCTCTCCATAGTCAAACAAAGCAGAAACCGAAAACGACCCACTTGGACCTCATAGTATGAGTAATTAACAGTGTGTTGAAGCTTTGGTAAAAACACTTGTGTTTTCCGAAGGAATTTCAAAAATCTCCGGTGATATTCTCAGTTTTTTGATACTTCGCCAGAATTTCGAAATACTGGCCAAAGTCCGATTTTTCAAAATAGAACACCCTATATTTTATTAACTCATTGGATAACTCTGCTTTTGCTGATTTCAATGATGTTAAGTTCCATAGGTTAATTGAATATCTGTTTTTGGCATAAAACAGTGTTAGAAAGAGACCTTTCTCATTTTCCTTACAGTCCTTTTCTAACACAAAAGGTTCCTATGACAAACAGAGATCCTAATTATATTCTCAAAAACTGTTAAACATAAAGCTATCAAACTTTATTTATCAGCAAAAGCAGAGCCATCCAATGAGTTAATAAAATATAGGGTGTTCTATTTAAAAATATCGGACTCTGGTCAATATCTCAAACTCCTGACGAAATACCAAACAAATTGATAACGTCACTGGATTTTGCTTAAAAAAGAAACTTTAGGAAAGTTTTTACGGAAATAAATTATTTTTATAAATCAAAAAGTTATGAAGCTTTTCCTATTAAAAGTGTCTAAATTGGACCACCCTGTACATGCTAGAAATTAAAATAATATCACTTTTATGGAATATGTATTGTTTTTATTCAAAAAATGCCTGATTCTAGTGACCAAAGTTAAATTACAATATTTAGAAAAAAAACTTTGACCTAATTTTTTATTATCACCCTGTATCGCTGCAAGGTTGGTGCAATGAAAGAAAATGCTTATTTCGACTTCCAAAATAATATACTGAAATTTCAACAAAATCTGTTGGTGGCCAAAATCATTGCCAAAATCCATATAAAGTGTGAGATGTTCTTTTATCGTTTTAGTAAGAAGCTACCTTCTGAAGCTGAAACTTTCACTGAATTTTATCCCAATCAAGCGACTACAATCCCTGAGAATTTCAGTTCATTTGCACTTATAGTTGCTGAGATAAGCAATTTGGGGTGATTTATCAATATTTCAATTTTTCTGAGTGCCTTTTTTCATAGATTTCGGCTTCAAATCTGAGAATAATTTAGTGTATGGAGTTTAGGGGATATTATTTGACCATAAGGATACAAAATCTCAACAAAAAAAAATTTGAAATTTTATCGTTTTAGTAAGATGATGATTATGATTTATATTTTGGAAGGGCATAACTTTTTTTCTATTATAGATTGAAAGCTGAAATTTTCACTGAAATTTATCTCAATAAAGGGACTACAATCTCTGGAGCTCAGCTCATTTGGACTTTTACTTCCAGAACTAAAATCGCGTTAAGCAATTTTGGGTGGATTTATCAATTTTTAAATTTTTTGAGTGTTTTTTTTTTTCATAGATTTCGGCTCCAAATCCTAGAATAATGTAGTGTATGGAGTTTGGGAGATCCCAAAGCATCATTAAGACATAAAATCGAACCATAAAAAAATTTGAAATTTCATCATTTTAGTAGGTACTAAAACTTGATTTAGATCTCTGAAAACTTTGAAAAATCATAACTTTTTTTCTATTACAGATGGAAAACTGAAATTTTTAGCATTTTTTATCCTAGTAGAGAACTACAATCCCTGAAGATTTCAGCTCATTTGGACTTATAGTTTTAGAAATAAAATCACGTTTAGCAATTAAGGGCGAATTTATCAATTTTTCAATTTTTTGAGTGCCTTTTTTCATAGATTTCGGACCCAAATCACAGAATAATTTAGTGTATGGAGTTTGGGGGATCTCGAAGCATCATTAAGACACAAAATCTCAACATTTTGAAATTTCATCATTCTAGTACTAAGGTAGCTTACCTTATGATTTAGGTCTCTGAAAACTGTGAAAGATCATAACTTTTTTTCTATTACAGATAGAAAGCTGAAATTTTTAGCGATTCTTATCCCAGTGAAGGACTACAATCCCTATAACTAAAACTATAAAACATTCTCTTGAATTTCTCAGTTTTGACTATTTTCCCTAATACAAGTTTAACCGTATATTATTATCAAAGTTCGCTTAACTTAAGGTGACTCTTGAGACTCACTTAGAAGAACTGATTTCAAGTTAACTTTAAGGTTAAGGTTACCTTAGCTGAGTTTTGAGAAGTAACATTGAGATACCGGCTCTAAAATATTTACTTAGAAAAGGTCCCTCAATTTCTCAAAAACCACACATATTTTTATTGTCTACAATTAAGACCTGTTTCACCCTAAAAATCAGATTTACCAAGAAGAAGTTTTGAAACACTATTTTCATGTGCTTATTTCATTTATTATAATATTGTATACTTTAAAAAAAAACTTAATTAGAGAGCTACAAAATTCCCCCTTATATAAAAATAAAGTGTCTGATCTGATAACGCTTTGATTTGCTCTTGGGTGCAGCTAATCAAGGCGCCTTACGCTAAGATCTACAACATCATCAAGACGCAAACGATGTCAGAGGGCAGTGTCGACGAGGTGACTGGCACACGCACGACACTAAAACACACAAAAATATTCTTCTCTGTTTCTTTTCGTCCCCTTAAACTGTCTGCTTAGATTATAGATAGTTTCTCTTCTTCTCGTGCCAATAATTTGCATCCGAAATTCAGGCAAATGTCACCAACGTATGCTTCAATTTGTGAGAAATGACTATTTGAAGTCATCAATTACCTATAATAATAATAATAAGCTCACCTTTAATAAAAATTGAATATATCACATATTTATCTTAGAATCTAATTGTTTATAAATATAAATAAATAAAGGTGTATTGAAACAATTCGAGTGAAAATTATTGATTCTGGTGTCATCTATGATTCAAACCCAAAACGTTGAAGTACCTACAGGCAGATCACTACTAGTCCAATCAAAAATGTTTCCTGTTTTTGTTAATGCAAATCTTTTATTTTTTAATTTGTTCAAAATAAGAAATTTCCAATAGTTTATTATTGGCATTTAATTAAAAACAAACTAATCCGTTCTAATTCCTTATACATTCACCTTTTTCCGGCTTTTTGTCTAGACATTGGTATGTTTATTAGGTTTATTAAAGTAACACACAAGTTTTGGAATTTTGGAGTATGTAAAATTAAATTACACAATATTCCTTTTTAAACAGTAATCAATTAGTATTGAATACCACCGAAGCAATTAGCAGAGAGCACGTTAAACTTTTGTAATTAAGCACGGGACATTATTCTTATTATATGGTTGGGTTTAGTTTCGAAGTAGATTTTAAAGTGTTTGGTGACATTTGCTTGGGAAAAAAAAACGAATTTCTTGAATAATGCAAGTGGAAAAGGTAGGTGCACTATATTAGTACATATTTTGAGCATATTTTTTTTGGAGTTGGGCTTTAATAGATTTGACATTTTTCTAAAGAAATTAATTGTCATCCTTACAACCTGTATGTTCTTGAGAATTATTTTGGAAACATAAAAATGACGTATAAATTTCTTTATGCAATATGATGATGGTATCACAAAAAAACAAATCAACAAAATTCAATTCTTGAAAATTATAGGCAAACAATTTCCCAATTTGTGTCATCCGAGAAACCTATTCGTACAAACAATAGATTTTGCATCGGAAATTGTAATTATTAACGATCGAAGATTAAAAAGTTGTTTGGCCTTCGCCCCAATTTTTAATCCTCACCAAAACTGAATATTTTTGACGAGCAAAATCCGTTTTTTATCCCATTGCACATAAATGTTTTTTTATAATAAATGCAACAGATGTTTTTCGAATTTGCAAATTAGTACGGTAGGTACCAGTTGGCGTTGTAACAGTGATTTAATTAAATTGTTGTGGTAATTTGCCACCGTTTGGAATAATGACTGGATTAACAAGGGTAAAATTATCACGATTTTACTATACACTTACAGGAATTAGCAAGTCCTTTCAAAAATAATAATTATTTATTAAATAACCTTTGGCAGCTATGGTTGCCTTTCCATTTTTATATTTTGTTATGTTAATGTTTAAATAAATATTCAAAATTGCCAGATAATTTGTTGAATATTGAAAATATTTGCTTTATTGAGTAAATATTATTAAAGGTGTCAATTTTAGTGTAGCGTTAATTTATTACTTAGGTGGTTATTATTTTGTCAAATGTATTTTTTATAATTACAAGAAAATTTATTTAAATTCTAAAAAAATTAATTACCAAAGAGCACTAGGTACAAATAATAACAACAAAATACTTAGTCTAGGAAAATAGTCGAAAAATACATGTATTGCAAAAAAAAAAAATCCTACCCAAATGAACTTTTCAGGGATGATAGGGGGCGGGTAAGTGATCATAAAACCGAAAATATCAAACATTCACCCCTCTGGCGTTTTGCGCTATAGGGGTTGAAAGTGCGCCATTGGCGATTACTTTGTACCTATTGATTTTACAAAAAAATGTTTCAAATAAAAGATGTGCAACATTATTTGATCTACAATGTTTATCTAAAGACTTTTTTGATTAAGGGCCGTCTGTGGTTATAAGGGCCGTTTGAAATTTTATAATGAAAATGAAAAATTTTAACCAACGTGAAAAAATTTTCTACAACACATACAACATTTTTGCTTTATGAAGTTTTTACTCACCCCCTGCCGTTTTTCAATAGGGGTAGTTTAAAGTTTATTTATTTTTTCACAAAAACAATTTCCTTATAAAAATTTATAAGATTACATTTCCTACAATTTTTCCCAATCAACTTTTTTTGTAACTCACCCCCATTCAGCGGGGGGACACTTCCCTTGGGGAAATTTTAGTTTTTAGGGGTATATATTATTTTTTTTTTTCCTCTTCTCGCCTTTAGTGCATATAAAAAGGTGCAATTAACATTGTATTAAAAGAATTTTTTTTCCACCACCTTTTCGTTTTTAGGGGTAGTTCGCCTATTTTCAACTTTACAAAAAAAAGTTATAGAGAAAAGTTGCTCAAAATAATAAAATGAACAAGTTTTCTTGATAAATTTTTTTTGTAAAGTTGAAAATAGGCGAACTACCCCTAAAAACAAAAAGGTGGTGAAAAAAAAAATCCTTTTATTATAATGTTAATTGCAACTTTTTATATGCATTAAAGGCGAGAAAAGGAAAAAAAAAATTAATATATACCCCTAAAAACTAAAATTTCCCCGAGGGAAGTGTCCCCCCGCTGAATGGGGGTGAGTTACAAAAAAAGTTGATTAGGAAAAATTGTAGGAAATGTCATCCTATAAAACTTTTATTAGGAAATTTTTTTTGTAAAAAAATAAAAAAACTACCCCTATTGAAAAACGGCAGGGGGTGAGTAAAAACTTAATAAAGCAAAAATGTTGTATGAGTTGTAGAAAAATTTTTCATGTTGGTTAAAATTTTTCATTTTCATTATAATATTTCAAACGGCCCTTATGACCACAGACGGCCCTTAATCAAAAAAGTCTTTAGATAAACATTGTAGATCAAATAATTTTGCACATCTTTTATTTGAATTTTTTTTTTGTAAAATCAATAGGTACCAAGTAATCGCCAATGGCGCACTTGCAACCCCTATAGCGCAAAACGCCAGAGGGGTGAATGTTTGATATTTTCGGTTTTATGATCACCCACCCTCCCCCTATCATCCCTGAAAAGTTCTTTTGGGTAGGATTTTTTTTTTTGCAAATCGACAATTTTCCTAGACTAACTTCAAACAATCAAAGATTGCTATGGTTTTTTAAACGTATCCTCCTCTATCCCACATACTGCACGTATTTCAATTTTTCCGATTTTACAGGAGGCACGATTTTATCTTTTCGGTGACATTCAACCATTTGTTGTGGAAATATAATTCAACTTAGATTTATTTTACCATAACTGAGAATAGGTATTCTATATAATATTACAACAATATTATACATACATATTATATCGGGTCTTCAAATAAAAACCAATCAAAGACTGCTATGGTTTTTTGAACGTGTCAGCAATATTTTTCTTCAATTTTGTCAATGTCAATGAACTTTAATGTCAAAATGTCATGTCAAAAATCCTGACCAATAAAGAAACAGTAATGCGACGTACAAGGTGTTTCATTATATTTTGAACTCTACCTACACCTTTAGCTATACGAGGTGGAAAAAAACTTTAAATATAAAAGTTGTAGTCTATTATCTTTTGCGAATGTCAAAATGGGCAAATGACAGGTGCCAACTGTCACAATGACAAACACTTGGATTTTTCAAATGGAACACCCTGTATATTCTTAGCTAGAAGGATAGATTTTTTTTTTCTGATTCCAAATATACCATATATGTTGATATTTGGTTCAGCTGTTTTTACGCTATTCAAGTTTAAAAATGAATTTACATTACCCTTAATCTAATCTGTCCAGCACTGGAACCACAAACAATCGCTATCGATAAGTTCTCGACAATTTCCCCTCATTTATCACCTCGTCCACCCATCGCTCAACGTTAGGGTCCAAAATTGCCACCACAAACGAACATTTGCGGTGCAAACGAACGTTTGCGGTGGTAATTTTGGCGACTAACGTTGAGCGATGGGTGGACGAGGTGAGAACTTGTCGAGAACTTATCGATAGCGATTGTTCGTGGTTCCGCCTCTGGTTTCTTAAATCAATGATAAGGCTTGCTCAATGCAATTTTAAAATTAAATAGCGGAAAAACAACTCAACTAAATATCAACATATATGGTATATTTGGAATCAGAAGAAGAAAAGGGGTCCGTTACACTAGCCCCCCCCCCCCGGTTTCCCAATAAGCTCAATATTTTAGCACCCTATTGCACCCACCTAGCACCACCTAGCACCCAACTTACAGAGCTAGCACCACATCCCCTAGTGAGTTATAGAACATTTTCACCGGGGGGGGCTAATGTAACGCGAGCCCCCCCCGGTTATCCAACAGGTCCAATTTTTTAACACCCTATTGCACCCACCTAGCACCCAACTTACAGAGCTAGCACCACACCCTCCAGCGAGTTATAGAACATTTTCACCGGGGGGGGCTAATGTAACGCGAGCCCCCCCCCCCCCGGTTTCCAATAGGTCCAATTTTTTGGCACCCTATTGCACCCAGCTAGCACCCAACTTACAGAGCTAGCACCACACCCCCTAGCGAGTTATAGAATATTTTCACCGGCGGGGGGGGGGCTAAGGGGCTAATGTAACGCGAGCCCCACCCTGGTTTTCTAACAGGTCCAATTTTTTAGCGCTCTATTGCACCCACCGAGCACTACCCAGCACCCAACTTACAGAGCTAGCACCACATCCCCCAGCGAGTTATAGGACATTTTCACCGTGGAGGGCTAATGTGACACGATTTAATACAATTTTTAAAGATTATTGTATGTAAAGGTACGTCTACACTAGAGCTTTCAGCCCGCATGAACAAGTACTGAGCATGCCGAGGCAGAATGAGGATTCAAGTGTGGACTGTGGATGAGTGTTCGAACCACATGAGACAGTTGTTGCTGTGTATTTATTTTGCCTCAACTTG